GACCCCTCCCCCTATGCCCCGAGTCCCCTCTGACACCCCCTTACCAGCAGTCTGTTGTCCTTGATAACACAGAGCTGTTTGGCCCACTGGCCCAGCCACTTCTTCCTCCAGAGGAATGCGCAGATCAGTGCGTCCTTCATCAGCTCGATGGACGCCTCCGTGGACGGCCATTGGTGCTGATGGGCCGACGACTTCTTGAGGTTTTCTTCTTCATCGTAGGACTCGTAGGAGCTGCTGACGGCGTCTCCGTCCTCTGTGAACGACAGAATGAGATTCATACAGCGGGTGATGAGATCGGACCGGTACTGCGATCGCTCATACGCTCACTGCGTCACGTTTCATGTTCCTGGCGGGCAGACGTGGAATATTTACCATTATAAAATATTCCACATTGTATCTCCATATCCAGGAGGTGGGCGGAGCTCTCGCATGTACTTCCCGGATCTCTATAGCTGCTTTATAAGTCATTTGTTTACAGAGCTCAGTAGCTCAAGCTAAACGCCCCCCCCCGAACTGACTGTGTCAGAGCAGTGACTCCGCCCCCTCTTCCTGCGTCATACATGGAGATTCAATTACAGAGTGTTCCCACAATGCTCTGGGCATCCTTTGTCACGGAAAACGTCTATTAGAAAACCATTTTATATACAAAGTACAAAAGATACAAAAATAAACGCATTTCACCCGTTAGACTGTTTTCCAGTCGGGGGAGGCGGAGCGAGGAGTGCGGATGGAGTCCATGTATCTCTAACACAGGAAAATGCAGATTGCGCACTGCGGGGGATGTGATAACGGTATCCGGGGGAGGCGGGGGGGAGGAGCTGATACCTCTTATTGGGATTCCATTGTCCTCCCTCATCCCCGCGAATGTCGGGAAATGTCCTTATCTGGGGTGTGAGAAGCGTGCGTTGTGTCAGAATATAGGAATGTGGAGGAAAGCATTCGATTCCCGCCCCACACCTCCCCCGAATGACCAGCAAGGCCGGAGTACCACCTGCTACAACACCCCCCCCGGAGAGCAGTGCAAGTCTCCACCAAGACCTGGAAAGAGGACCTGTCCCCAGTAACATTACAAGACAATCCCCGACATGCCACAATGTACGACGACAGGATCATTGGTCAGAGAAGCTCCGCCTCTTATCATTGCAAAGCCAACTATGAGCTCCAGTCCAGTGACTGTGCCTAGGCTGAGATGATGTCATCAGTCTGCTGCAGCAGGAGGAAGCATTTCCTCAGTCTCCCCTCTCCCAGTGATCAGTCTGCTGCACCTATCTATCTGACCTCCGTCCTCCCCTTCAGCCTTCTATCTGACCTCCGTCCTTCCCTTCAGTCTTCTATCTGACCTCCTTCCTCCCCTTCAGTCTTCTATCTGACCTCCGTCCTCCCCTTCAGTCTTCTATCTGACCTCCGTCCTCCCCTTTAGTCTTCTATCTGACCTCCGTCTGCACTGGCCGCTCGGTGACACGCACTGGCCGCTCGGTGACACGCACTGGCCGCTCGGTGACACGTAGGTCGCTCTATGACTTCCTGTATGAGGACCATTCCAGGAAGAAGCTCTTTAACCCTTTCCGCTATGACCGCTACTTGACCTCTGTGAATCCGTCTGTCATTCCGCTCCGCGCCCGGCTCGTCCTCCCACAAATGATCACGCCGAGCAGATGTCCTCCGACCTCCAGATTAGAGGATTCCTCCCAACGATTCACCTCCCGTGATGTCATAAAGAGGACCAGTCATATCCCTGACGTGTCACAATATACAGGAACCAGTGGCGTAACAATTGCCATAGCGACCCAGGCAGCCGCTATGGGGCCCGGGGCACAGGGGGGGCCCGGCCAGATGACGTGCGGGCCGCCGGGGTCGCTATGTCACCTCTGCTGGTGGCTTTCACTGGCAGCTGTGAGAAGAATGCGCCGCTGTTCAGATCACTGATCTGTGCAGCAGCGCATTCTTCTCACAGCCGCTGCGCGGTTAATGAGAGCCCGCAGCGGCGGTGGAGCAGGCTGGACCCGGCAGTGGAGGAGGAGGCGGGGGCCCGTGGTCGGCAGCAGAGAAGGCGGGGCCCAGTGACGGAGGAGGAGGAGGGCCCGGCGACGGAGGAGGAGGCGGGGCCCGGCGACAAAGGAGGAGGCGGGGCCCGGCGACAAAGGAGGAGGCGGGGCCCACCCCGGTGATCAGTCTGCTGCAGGCAGGAGGAAGCATTTCCTCAGTCTCCCTTCCCTCCCTGATCAGTCTGCAACATTGTCACTTTGTATCCAGTCACAAGGTGAGAGGCTGCAGCAGGGGCTGATCTGTGTCAGACATTGGTGAACACAGCCACAGTCACCAGGATTCACATGATTGTGTCATCTCAGTCCAGGAGGTAGATGGTGACCCTGGGTGATGCCTGGACAAAGATGGCGCCTTCCATCTGCTGAGAAAATCAGATGAGGACATTGTCAGGGGGAGTGCTGTGATCTCCGCAAGTGTTACACTGACACATTACTGAGCAGACTGTGCTGTGTGATGACAGGTCCACTTTAAGGAGCTCCGAAGGGCTTGCTGCACGCTGGGACTTGTACTCCGCCAGGGACAGACACAGCCCTCCATCGCCCCTAATGACAGTAATGATGATAATACGGCATTGTCGTCGGTCCGCGCGCACGTATAAAGCTGTCCTTGTCTTCCTCGGCGCAGAGCCGGCCACAAATATTTCTTTCATGGCAGAATCCGCGTCACAGCGGGATGAGAAGACTCCGGCGGCGGCGACACAAATATCCCCCTTCAGTATCCTGGAGGCCGGAGCCGGGAGGACGGCCCGCGGGAAGAGGCCCGGGGGGAGGAGAACGCAGGACACCGGGGGCTGTGTATATATATATATACTGTGCATCACATGATGGATACAATGGGGGGATGGTGATTCTTCCTGTGAATGCCAGTGAGCCCGCATTAGTTATCCGTCTCGTTGTGAGGCTCAGCACCGGGGCCATGGATTAGAATGGGACCGAGCAGGGGCGCCCCGAGGCCGGGTGTCACACTGAGCGGAGTTTGGGTGACACCCCGCGTGACATCATTGCACATGCGCGGCCGTGTAATTGACGCCTGCCCGCGGCCATGTTGGTGATGGACGCCGGCAGAGAGAGGAGGGGACGTTCACCCGGCGGGATGAGGTATGCCGCCGGGTCCCCTCCTCTCTCCTGATACTGTCGGGCTCTCAGTCTGTGACCGAGTGTCTAACTTTTTAGAGGGGGGTGTCACCAAAATGACTGAAATGACTGACACCAAAATGACTGTCAGTCATTTTGGTGTCACCCCCTTCAATGGTGTCACCCGGGTGCGGGCTGCACCCCTCTTGCGACGCCACTGGGACCGAGCCCTCCGTGCATTTTGGTGCCTCGTCGGATTTAATAAGAATTTCGATGTTACTTCTTCTTTAAGAAAGGAAAAGAAAAACACGGCCACCACAAACCTGGCAACATGAAACGGTTCAGCGAACAGGAAACGGCGAGATGAAAGAAGAAGGAGAATTCTCAATGAGCCCCCCAAATGTGGAACAAAAACCTTCATGGAGGAAGAGAAACGCAGATTATGTGTCTGTCACCAGCCGCAGCGGGCAGAACGCAGAGAGAGAATGACTTTGTATGCCACTGCGGACAGAGGCGAGCTGCTCCCTACTACCCCCATCCCCCCCCATGGTAAGAGGCCAATTTGTTTTCTTACATATATTGCCCTCAATCCGCAAGTCATTGTTACTTCCACATCACAGGAACACATTTCTCTGCACCAAATTCACATTTACCATCCGAAATATGTCACAAAGTCTCATTTCATCTCATGATGTGTTCTGGTATCATCAACTCAACACACAGAGAGTCAGAACTCAGCACAGGGATGGTGGGAGCCCCTCATAATGGGCACAGCGGGGGTACAGACCCGGGAACTTGTCACAAAGTCTCATTTCATCTCATGATGTGTTCTGGTATCATCAACTCAACACACAGAGAGTCAGAACTCAGCACAGGGAGGGTGGGAGCCCCTCATAATGGGCACAGCGGGGGTACAGACCCGGGAACTTGTCACAAAGTCTCATTTCATCTCATGATGTGTTCTGGTATCATCAACTCAACACACAGAGAGTCAGAACTCAGCACAGGGAGGGTGGGAGCCCCTCATAATGGGCACAGCGGGGGTACAGACCCGGGAACTTGTCACAAAGTCTCATTTCATCTCATGATGTGTTCTGGTATCATCAACTCAACACACAGAGAGTCAGAACTCAGCACAGGGAGGGTGGGAGCCCCTCATAATGGGCACAGCGGGGGTACAGACCCGGGAACTTGTCACAAAGTCTCATTTCATCTCATGATGTGTTCTGGTATCATCAACTCAACACACAGAGAGTCAGAACTCAGCACAGGGAGGGTGGGAGCCCCTCATAATGGGCACAGCGGGGGTACAGACCCGGGAACTTGTCACAAAGTCTCATTTCATCTCATGATGTGTTCTGGTATCATCAACTCAACACACAGAGAGTCAGAACTCAGCACAGGGAGGGTGGGAGCCCCTCATAATGGGCACAGCGGGGGTACAGACCCGGGAACTTGTCACAAAGTCTCATTTCATCTCATGATGTGTTCTGGTATCATCAACTCAACACACAGAGAGTCAGAACTCAGCACAGGGAGGGTGGGAGCCCCTCATAATGGGCACAGCGGGGGTACAGACCCGGGAACTTGTCACAAAGTCTCATTTCATCTCATGATGTGTTCTGGTATCATCAACTCAACACACAGAGAGTCAGAACTCAGCACAGGGAGGGTGGGAGCCCCTCATAATGGGCACAGCGGGGGTACAGACCCGGGAACTTGTCACAAAGTCTCATTTCATCTCATGATGTGTTCTGGTATCATCAACTCAACACACAGAGAGTCAGAACTCAGCACAGGGAGGGTGGGAGCCCCTCATAATGGGCACAGCGGGGGTACAGACCCGGGAACTTGTCACAAAGTCTCATTTCATCTCATGATGTGTTCTGGTATCATCAACTCAACACACAGAGAGTCAGAACTCAGCACAGGGAGGGTGGGAGCCCCTCATAATGGGCACAGCGGGGGTACAGACCCGGGAACTTGTCACAAAGTCTCATTTCATCTCATGATGTGTTCTGGTATCATCAACTCAACACACAGAGAGTCAGAACTCAGCACAGGGAGGGTGGGAGCCCCTCATAATGGGCACAGCGGGGGTACAGACCCGGGAACTTGTCACAAAGTCTCATTTCATCTCATGATGTGTTCTGGTATCATCAACTCAACACACAGAGAGTCAGAACTCAGCACAGGGAGGGTGGGAGCCCCTCATAATGGGCACAGCGGGGGTACAGACCCGGGAACTTGTCACAAAGTCTCATTTCATCTCATGATGTGTTCTGGTATCATCAACTCAACACACAGAGAGTCAGAACTCAGCACAGGGAGGGTGGGAGCCCCTCATAATGGGCACAGCGGGGGTACAGACCCGGGAACTTGTCACAAAGTCTCATTTCATCTCATGATGTGTTCTGGTATCATCAACTCAACACACAGAGAGTCAGAACTCAGCACAGGGAGGGTGGGAGCCCCTCATAATGGGCACAGCGGGGGTACAGACCCGGGAACTTGTCACAAAGTCTCATTTCATCTCATGATGTGTTCTGGTATCATCAACTCAACACACAGAGAGTCAGAACTCAGCACAGGGAGGGTGGGAGCCCCTCATAATGGGCACAGCGGGGGTACAGACCCGGGAACTTGTCACAAAGTCTCATTTCATCTCATGATGTGTTCTGGTATCATCAACTCAACACACAGAGAGTCAGAACTCAGCACAGGGAGGGTGGGAGCCCCTCATAATGGGCACAGCGGGGGTACAGACCCGGGAACTTGTCACAAAGTCTCATTTCATCTCATGATGTGTTCTGGTATCATCAACTCAACACACAGAGAGTCAGAACTCAGCACAGGGAGGGTGGGAGCCCCTCATAATGGGCACAGCGGGGGTACAGACCCGGGAACTTGTCACAAAGTCTCATTTCATCTCATGATGTGTTCTGGTATCATCAACTCAACACACAGAGAGTCAGAACTCAGCACAGGGAGGGTGGGAGCCCCTCATAATGGGCACAGCGGGGGTACAGACCCGGGAACTTGTCACAAAGTCTCATTTCATCTCATGATGTGTTCTGGTATCATCAACTCAACACACAGAGAGTCAGAACTCAGCACAGGGAGGGTGGGAGCCCCTCATAATGGGCACAGCGGGGGTACAGACCCGGGAACTTGTCACAAAGTCTCATTTCATCTCATGATGTGTTCTGGTATCATCAACTCAACACACAGAGAGTCAGAACTCAGCACAGGGAGGGTGGGAGCCCCTCATAATGGGCACAGCGGGGGTACAGACCCGGGAACTTGTCACAAAGTCTCATTTCATCTCATGATGTGTTCTGGTATCATCAACTCAACACACAGAGAGTCAGAACTCAGCACAGGGAGGGTGGGAGCCCCTCATAATGGGCACAGCGGGGGTACAGACCCGGGAACTTGTCACAAAGTCTCATTTCATCTCATGATGTGTTCTGGTATCATCAACTCAACACACAGAGAGTCAGAACTCAGCACAGGGAGGGTGGGAGCCCCTCATAATGGGCACAGCGGGGGTACAGACCCGGGAACTTGTCACAAAGTCTCATTTCATCTCATGATGTGTTCTGGTATCATCAACTCAACACACAGAGAGTCAGAACTCAGCACAGGGAGGGTGGGAGCCCCTCATAATGGGCACAGCGGGGGTACAGACCCGGGAACTTGTCACAAAGTCTCATTTCATCTCATGATGTGTTCTGGTATCATCAACTCAACACACAGAGAGTCAGAACTCAGCACAGGGAGGGTGGGAGCCCCTCATAATGGGCACAGCGGGGGTACAGACCCGGGAACTTGTCACAAAGTCTCATTTCATCTCATGATGTGTTCTGGTATCATCAACTCAACACACAGAGAGTCAGAACTCAGCACAGGGAGGGTGGGAGCCCCTCATAATGGGCACAGCGGGGGTACAGACCCGGGAACTTGTCACAAAGTCTCATTTCATCTCATGATGTGTTCTGGTATCATCAACTCAACACACAGAGAGTCAGAACTCAGCACAGGGAGGGTGGGAGCCCCTCATAATGGGCACAGCGGGGGTACAGACCCGGGAACTTGTCACAAAGTCTCATTTCATCTCATGATGTGTTCTGGTATCATCAACTCAACACACAGAGAGTCAGAACTCAGCACAGGGAGGGTGGGAGCCCCTCATAATGGGCACAGCGGGTGTACAGACCCGGGAACTCAGCACACTCCGCACACGGAGGGGAAGATATAAAATCAGACACAATTCAGTTTAGAAACCTTTCTTTGGTGTCCCGTTATACGAGGTCGGTATTTTTCGTCCCTGGCAGACTCGGCGTCCTTCACCGATGCTCCAGATAACAGTGACAGCCCTGAGCTGTGTTTGGTGACTTGTGATAATATTTCCAAAAATGTAAAACAATCCCGAGCGCAGAATCACAGCTCAGACTTCAATGTCATTAATAATGTGAACATTGTGCTGCACAACCAAGCAGATCACCTCCTGTGCTGACTGTTATCAGTTACATAGTTTCCAGTAGGGATTCACCGATACCGAGCACAGATACTTTTCCAGCTCCAGGACGAGAGACATTTTTTTTTATTGCTGTGACTCCATTACGGAAGATTTCACCTCATTTCCTGTCCCTGTGACAACAGGACATGAGATGAGGGAAGTGGTTGCCACTGGAACAGTAAGATCCAGACAGTAATACCCTTCCCTATTGTACAGAAAAGATTTGCTGAACACGTCCCACTGAAAAGCTTCTACTTCCTGTCCTGCCAGGAAATATGGGGAAACCTTCCCCGCAGGAACACAAAGCAGAAATAGAAACCAGACCGAGTTTCCATCCCTTCCACCGTTCTGTCCAAAACCAAATGTAGAGTTTTAGCCAAATACAGTCAGCTATATAGCAGTGCACTTTGCAGAGAGACCACTGCTTCAACACAGAGAGTAAGGGTCCTCCTCTGCGCCATGCTGGCCGGGGACAGACTTTCCTGCTCAGGTTGTAGCCGCTTGCTAAGGAAAATAAACTGTACGATTTTGCACACAATTTTATTTTGATGCCCCTGGAATCTATGTGGCCAAATAAAGCTGAATTGGGCTTTAATATAAAGAAACATTTCAGGTAATTAGACTATTTATATTAAGTATTAAAAGAGGAACTTATTAAAGAGGTGTCATTGTTGTTTAGTTTCCACAAATCAATACAAATAAACTAATTTACATAAACAATATTTAAACTAAAACAAAGACAGTGTTGAGTCCAGAGAGATGAGAGCGATCAGAGAGATCACAGAGATGAGAGCGATCACAGAGACGAGCGCGATCACAGAGATCAGAGCGATCAGAGCAATCACAGCGATCAGAGAGATCACAGAGATGAGAGCGATCACAGAGCGATCAGAGAGATCACAGAGATCAGAGAGATCACATCGATCAGAGAGGTCACAGAGATCAGAGAGCGATCAGAGAGATCACAGAGATGAGAGCGATCAGAGAGATCACAGCGATCAGAGAGATCACAGCGATCAGAGAGATCACAGCGATCAGAGAGATCACAGCGATCAGAGAGATCACAGAGATGAGAGCGATCACAGCGATCAGAGAGATCACAGCGATCAGAGAGATCACAGAGAGATCACAGAGCTCAGAGAGGTCACAGCGATCAGAGAGATCACAGAGAGATCACAGAGATGAGAGCGATCACAGAGCTCAGAGAGATCACAGCGATCAGAGAGATCACAGAGCTCAGAGAGGTCACAGCGATCAGAGAGATCACAGAGATCAGAGAGGTCACAGCGATCAGAGAGATCACAGAG